GATAACGCCACTTATATAACACCAATATTAAACACAAACAGAGATATTTTTGATAACGCCACTTTCATAACATCAATATTAAACACAAACAGAGGTATTCTTGATAACGCCACTTTCATAACATCAATATTAAACATAAACAGATATATTTTTGATAACGCCACTTATATAACACCAATATTAAACATAAACAGATGTATTTTTATAACGCCACTTTAATAACATCCATATTAACATAAACAGAGGTATTTTTGATAACGCCACTTTCATAACATCAATATTAAACATAAACAGATATATTTTTGGTAACGCCACTTTCATAACATCAATATTAAACATAAACAGAGGTATTTTTGATAACGCCACTTTGTACAGTACCTACGAGAAAAACAACTGACGTTATACTGACCACTCGTAGAAAAATTTTTGATTTTGAAATTAAAGACAGTAATTAAATTTGCAATAGCTTTGAGAACTTAAAAAATCTAGAATTACAACAATACAGATTTTTATCGTTAATTCCAGAGTTACAGGTAGTACCGTCTTCTACGGCATCTGAAAAACTCTCTACGTAACTCACCCTACATTTACCATCAACACAGACATCTTTAGTTCCAGGGTTACAGGGAGTACCGTCTTCTACGGCATCTGAAAACTCGCTGAGGGAGGTCTTTCTTCAATTCCGTGATTAGGGACGGCTAGCGCAGATCACCCTGGAGTAGCTTTCCGCGAAATTCAAAAAAGAACTAACTAAGTGACTTCTCGTCCGTAATTTTTTTGCCGGAATTCACCACTTGGTTACTGACAAGTGGCTTTATCCTTTTTTTGAAACTGAAGTTAAAAAATGGAATTTTCTCTTCTCTATGAGATGAAATATACTCACAGAGAGACGGTTACTATTATTTACCTAAAGAGATGTTTAAGTCGACCAGAATAATAACTTTAAGTTGATGTCCTTGAGTAAGGAAGCACGTTATGCTAATATAATAATATTCTGGCAAACGATGATTGATACTCGTAATGAAGTGATTTATTTTAGAGGGCTTGTTTGTCTTAGAACAAACCCACATTGGGTTATCTGCCGTGTCCACCGTTGGAATCGAACCTCGGATTTTAGCGTTGTAAATCCATAGATATACTGCTGTCCTACTGGGGGACAATTTTAGGGGAACATACAACATATTTTGACGGAATTATTTTTCTTCAGAGAGAAAAAGACAGACAGTTGTTCTGTCAAGACGTTGTATGTTCTCCCCAAAATAAATCAATTCATTGTGTTTATAAATCATTGTTTGCTAACTTATTATTGACTCAGTGTTCTTCAAAGCATTTATCGGCAGTTATTTTCCTAACATGATTTAGGAAATGTATCTTAAACGCATGGGAACGCCTTTTCTAACTTTTCATTAAAACTTGTGCCTCTAGACGTGTCCTGATCGTTCACCGAGTTTCCGAGGAGTACAGTGTAGTAGCTTTGACGGTCTTCCCTATAAAGGAAAACTTCACAAGTGGCTTCCCGTCTACTCCTCACGTAAGCTTATAGCCTTTTAAAATGTTCTTATTTCATTCTCTAAACCTTCTTTAGATATAGAGAAGCTAACCTTACTGTCTACGTATAAACTGCGTTTTTCATCATGCACATCTTTTGAAACGTTCTTAACTCGAGCGTATAGTCATCACCTGAGTGTACTAAAGCTCCAGTCTTTTTAAGCATGATTCGTAATGGTCTTGTGAGCTCGTATAATGACAGTGTTTCTGTCTAATCAACATACGATGTATCATTGTAGGTGAGACAAAGTTCTAATTGTTTATTGAAGAGTTTTCGAGAAAAGCGTCAGTGTTAGTATTAACGTACAATTCTGTGATTAAATTAAATAATATTCTTCAGCTTCTCGATTTTAAAACCAAGTTTAGTTTTATCTTTATGTTGTTCCTTTCTCAAGTATATACAATATCGTGTTACTACTAATATATATAGAATTTGATACTGTGAACGATAGTACATTACAATTTGATGTCGATACCAAATAAACCTATTCGTTACACTATTAGTATAAACTAGTAAACCAATAGTTTGAATCTGAGTTTAAAATAAGGATCTGTGAATGTTAGTTTTCCATTATATAAATTATTACGTTTGTGTTTTAGGCACCAACATTCAATAACAATATATTATTCTCCTCAGTTTTAGGTTTTTAATTGGATAATGTTAGCCTTTTTTTTCTGAAACATGCTATATGTGTTGTACCTTTCTAGTAACTTGAAATAAACTCTCATTGTTATTTGTATTGTTTATTCAACAGTGAAACCGTGCCAGCTCCACTGTAAAGCAGAGGGAGAGTACTTTTCGGTTCTTCTCGCAGATACCGTAGAAGACGGTACTCCCTGTAACCCTGGAACTAAAGATGTCTGTGTTGATGGTAAATGTAGGGTGAGTTATTAGAGAGTTTTTCAGATACGGTAGAAGACGGTACTCCCTGTAACCCTTACTTAGTGAGTTACTTAGCGAGTTTTTCAGATACCGTAGAAGACGGTACTCCCTGTAACCCTTACTTAGTGAGTTATTCAGCCAACTCTACAGCTATTCTTTACCAACGAAAAGTGGAAATGACCATGTTCGGTGACGGGATTTCAGCTCATGACTCGCACATTGAGACTCGATCACCCTAACCATCAAGCCATACAAGGCCTTGTCAGTAGGTAACAGAAATTACCTGTTACATACATCTTAAAAAGTTATGTAAATTTTACACTCACTTACTATAAAGTTATATAAGTTTTACACTACCTGCTATAGAGTTATATAAGTTTGACACTCACCTACTATATGGTTATATAAGTTTGACACTCACCTATATATGGTTATATAAGTTTTACACTACCTACTATAAAGTTATATAAGTTTACACTCATCTACTATATGGTTATATAAATTTTACACTACCTACTATAGAGTTATATAAGTTTGACACTCACCTACTATATAGTTGTATAAGTTTGACACCCATCTCCTGAGCCACCCCAAGCCCATCTGCCAAGTTTGGTCCTACTAGCTCCTTAAGTTTGGGATGTGTTTTCGGGCAGGAAACATAGAAAATGGATCAGGGAGCGCGGTAGCGAACTTTATGTAGGGATGGGTCAGGTTAAAACGGCGGTCTATACATTGCTTACAAAACCAAGACAAAGGGATAGACGTCGAAAAGCTCTTCACAAATGAAGCATAAAACTGCTTCTAAGGTTTGGTTAACCTTCCTTTCGACGTCTACAAAACTGTTTCTAAAGTTCGGCCAACCTTCCTTGACGTTTACAAAACTGTTTCTGTAGTTTGGCTAACCTTCCTTGACGTCTACAAAACTGTTTCTGAAGTGTGGCTAACCTTCCTTGACGTCTACAAAACTATTTCTGAAGTTTGGCTAACCTTCTTTGACGTCTACAAAACTGTTTCTGACGTTTGGATAACCTTCCTTGACGTCTACAAAACTGTTTCTGACGTTTGGATAACCTTCCTTGACGTCTACA